ATACAACACTGTGTAAAAGTACTGAGCCACCCCACATTTCTTTATAATGTTGTAGGAAAATGGGAAATATGTGCAGCAATTTATTGAAAGGTGTGTGGAAACTCACATGGAAATGCATTATATAAGGCAAAAACAGAGTTTGTACCATTCTAATGAGCTTGAAAGTCAATATTCAGTATTTAGGTTCCTTTGTAAGTGCGCATCCGCCATTAGAGTGCTGCATCCTGTAACCTATAATTTCCTTCGGGATTAATAAAGTATTCTGATTCTGATTATTCTTCAAGACAGTCTGAACTCTCTTAGGAGAGCTTTCCTGTGATATCTTCAAGCAGTCATAAGATTATATAGTTCCTCCTGCTTCTTGAACTTCATTTAAAGTTGTTCTTTGGGTGTTTTTTGTTTGTTTTTGTGTTAAGTTGGTTGTTTTAGTTTGTTTTTGCTCCTTTATCTGTCGAGATGCTTCAATAATGCTGAGGTCTGCACTCTCAGGAGGCCCATCCATCACTCATAGTGTTCTGTATGTTTTTATATCCAGGTATGCTTTTACTGCATTAGGTATGTGTTTGGGAATACTGTAACGCTGAAAAATGAAGCCATTAACAATGAGATGCTTTCAAGACAGGTATTACATGATGGATCAAAATTTGATGGTACTTTCCTATATCAATAATTCCATCAATTTTAACAAGATCTCCAAGCTGAAAAGCAGTCCCAAACCATGGTAGAGCATCCGCCATATGTTACAGATAGACACTCACTGTTGTAGTTCTCTCCTGACGTCCTCTGCACATATCAATGATGATTCAAACCTTAGATTTACAGTTTTTACTGAATGCTTAAACCCTAACTGTGATTCTTATAGCACAATTTCTAAAACTATTAATACTTATAGCAAAACCACTCACTGAGTTTGCAAAACTAAAAGCACAAACACTGCTTTGCACTCAGTTTGCCATTTTGTAACACACACTTTGCAAACCTGTAGCTACAATCCACTGCACAGCACTCTTTTTGCAGAACTATAAACACAACTCACTGCTTTACACTCAATTTCCAAATGATCAACGCACTCCTAGCAAAGCTAAGCTATACTATACAACCGTGGCTCAGGGGGTTGGGAAGCATCTCTGTAACCAGAAGGTCGCCGGTTCGATCCCTGGGCTCTCTGTCCTGGTCGTTGTGTCCTTGGGCAAGACACTTTACCCTACCGCCTACTAATGTTGGCCAGAGGGGCCGATGGCGCGATATGGCAGCCTCGCTTCTGTCAGTCTGTCCCAGGGCAGCTGTGGCTACAACTGTAGCTGCCTCCACCAGTGTGTGAATGCGAGAGTGAATGAATAATGGCACTGTAAAGCGCTTTGGGTGCCTTGAAAAGCGCTATATAAATCCAATCCATTATTATTATACACATTTAAGGCCATTATTTACACTATTTTGCCAACTGTCTGGCACACTGTCACATGTGAAAACTTTTTTAGATAATTAGGTGTGTGTGGAGTACAATGGAGGGAGCAGAAAGAGTGAGAAGTAGAGGAGGCCGAGGAAGAGGACGTGGAGAAGTAGGATGAAGAGGACGACAAGGACAAGGAGGAGCAAGAGGAAGACGAGGAGGGGGGAGAGGAAGATGAGGAGGGGGGAGAGGAAGGGTAGGAAGAGTAAGAAATAGAATTGCTGATGACATCAGAGCTACAATAGTGGACCATGTAATCAACCGTGGAATGACCCTGAGGGAAGCTGGCCAACGGGTCCAGCCTAACTCGAGCCGCTACACTGTAGCAAGCATCATAAGGACATCTTGAAATGAGAATCGGTGAGTACAGTCACAGATTTGTAGCACTGCCATATGCCAATGAGAAACACACCAATACCATTGATGTAAAAATACTGAAATTGTTACTTTACAGAATTGCTAGATGACCAGATGCTGGGGCAGAGGAAGCATGTTCACTGCAGACCGAGTAACCCATATAGCCATTATGGCGATTGCAAATAATCCTATACTTGGAAATAAACACTTGTGTTTGTTTTGATGTGTTTGAATAAACACCAGTACTTGAAGTTTGGATCCCTCTATGCTTATGGATCTATGACAGCAGTATGAGCTCAAACTGACATAGCCTACCTTGTGCACAGAGAAAGCAAAAGCCAGATGTGTTTTGTATTCATACCATCAGTGTGCAGTTGGCGCATTGTGTGTTTAGTAGATGATGGCTTGTGTGTACTGTTTGATACGGAAACACCATTTTTACGAAGGTGTGAAGAGTTAATCTAGCTGTGTTTGCTTTTGCAAGAGAACTACAATGTTTTGATTATTGGGTGACAGGTTTTCTTATTTGTGTGAAGAGTTTTGCAAAATTAGCCAATAGTTACAAAAAATGTGCTTAAGCAATCAGAAAAAACTGTAAACACCAGTACTTGAAGTTTGGATCCCTCTATGCTTACGGATCTATGACAAAAGTATGAGCTCAAACTGACATAGCCTACCTTGTGCACAGAGAAAGCAAAAGCCAGATGTGTTTTTTATTCATACCATCAGTGTGTAGTTGGTGCATTGTGTGCTTATTAATATGATGGCTTGTGTTAACTGTTGGATACAAAAATACAATTTTTACAAAGGTGTGGAGAGTTAAGCAAGGGTTATTCGCTTTTACAAGAAAACTACAATGTTTTGCTGATTGGGTGACAGGTTTTCTTATTTGTGTGTAGAGTTTTGCAAAAATAGCCAATAGTTACAAAAAATGTGCTCAAGCCATCAGAAAAAACTGTAAAATCTGGATTCATGACTCTGTGTGTTCTTATGTAATTTTGCATGCCTCAGCCTTTTCTCCCTGCTTCCCTTTGTTCAGAAAGGCTTCTTTACAGCCAAACTGTTATCTTTGGCATTTCTCACAGATTTAGATAAAGAAATGGGAAGAAAGAAAGGGGGTCTGTAACAAGAGAAATCATTTTTTTGCTAAAATGTTTGTTATCTGTAGCCATATCACTGGTTCATCCCTTGAGATAGGTCCCTTTTTATGCTTGAATGATTCATAAGTCAGTGTTATGTGGCTTAACAAACAAAGACAAAAACCCCTAACACTGGTCAAGTACAAGAAGTGGGCTGTAAATGAGAGAAAAAGCCTCCTATGTCCAAACAGAAACTTTGAAAGACCTTCATAAAACCTTGAGAACTATTGCTCAAGACAACTTAAAACATTACAAGAAAGTCTGACTTCCAAGTAGTCAGACTTTATTTGGAAGTAGCCACTTCTACAAACAAACAATACAGAAGTAGACCTTTATGCCTCAGAATCAACACCTTGTTAAAAACTCAGACTATACCCTCGACTCCACTCTGTTTCATCCATGTCTACCTATAGCATTTTAAGGTTTGGAACTTTTCTCTAGGATTAAAATCTACACTGTCATGTTCCTGGTCCCAGTCCTACCTTGCATCCTATTTGCTCTTTTCACCTCCTCTAAATCCCTGAGAGAGGGCTCAAATTAAATTAGGTTTTAGTGAGGTTACATCAGCACCAGGCACTCAATGTATTATGTAGTACTAGTTCTCGGTTTAGCTGGGACAGAGCAAAGAGTACGGAGGGGAGGACAGAATGAAAGAGACACATGGGACAGAGGACAGGACAGAAAGACAGGAAGGAGAGGTGAAAGTGGGATGTACGCACTGCTCCACGCTGTTGCTTAGCAACACGTGCTTGCTGTCTGTTCTCATCTTTACTGTAGGCACATTTACTCTTGCAGTGAACTGGTTTCCAGCCATGACATGACGCCCTGTGAGGCTGGGAATGAGGAAAAGATGGAAACTGGATTGGACAGACTGGCTCCTTTAAATATGCAAATAACTGAAGGCAAACTGTAATTCAAGTACTTCAAAACAGGGTAATTATGCTTTTCATTATCATTATCTCCTGTCACACACACACACACACACACACACACACACACACACACACACACATATATATATATATATGTGTGTGTGTGTGTGTGTGTGTGTGTGTGTTTCCAAATATATATGGAAACACACACACATCACACCACTCGCATGTACTGTACCAGTGGTACCAGTATACTATACTATAATATATATGTGACAATAAAAGTGATTTGATTTGATTTGATCACACACATGTGTGTGTGTGTGTGTGTGTGTGTGTGTGTGTGTGTGTGTGTGTGTGTGTGTGTGTGTGTGTGGACATATAAAAATATGGAGCTGGAGATGAGAATGGCGGGTTTGTGCCATTGTGTTTTCAGAAGCATGCTGTCTTCTCTGAGACATAATTGTCAGTGACTTAGAATCACCAGTGATCCTCTAGAGGACAAGTGGTTTACCTGATAGATCAATAATTTTTCTTTAGGACAAGGGGATTCAATTCAAAGTGCCCGAATCACACAGTAGTATGTCTGCTGCTGTTAAAACCTTTACAATTGTTTTAATGTTGCTGACAGGTGTACATTTGTTGGGATCAAATAAAGCACAAAAAGAAAGAGATGTAAGCAGTGACAAGATAATCAAGAGATGCAACTCTTTGCACTCAAATCTCAGTGCTCGCAATAAATGAAGACTCCCATGTAGGCATTTAACATTTTAACATTGAATGCATGGCTTACTGTCTGAATAAAGTCTGCACAGTTAAAAGTTTGCACTGCAACATGGCAGTAAGTTCACTGTATCTACAGTCACCAGATCTCAGTTCAGGGGAGCACCTTTAGGATGTGGTGGAGATTTAAGCCAGTAAAAGAGGATCTGACCAAATACTGGCAAGATGTACCTGATGAAATGCCCAGTGAGAGTATATTAATTTATACAGTTTAATCCTATCTTATAAGATCACTACCAAATATTACTTAAAACTGACTTCAAATCACAAGTTAAAATTTTATCAGCTACTAGTAAATGCCATTTATCCTACACCAAGGTCAACACTAATGTTTCCACACTAAAGTTTATCTTAGCTATAAAAGCAGTAGTGTGTCTAAGGCCTATAGTATGATGTTACCTTGCCCTTGCTCTGCAGGTGGTGATGGTGCAAGTTTCTGGCAGCAATCATGGCGAGCTGTCTCTGGATCCACTGTAACTCCCTCTGAGACTCCCTCAGCAGGTTCTCCACATTAGCACTGGACTTGTGATCCCGCATTATCACCTGCAACACCAGTCTGCAGGTTACATAGTGAATCTATGATGCAAACCTCATATTCTGCACGCACACACACTGACGGTGCAATGCTGGAACAGTGCCATCAGCATATATACAAAGAGAAGCATGTACGCATCATTGAATAATCAAGAACTATTGCTTTTTGACCAGCATCAATAGGTGTCATTTATTAAAGTTGAATACTTAAGGATTTTGAGCTACCTTTGTAGTTTGTGTCTGGTTCAGATTTATATTTTAGTTTCACTAAACTTCACCTGAAAATAGAGCATATTTATGTGCATTCTTTAGTAGTTCAAAAACCTATCCATCTAATCACCATGTTTCCAAACAAACAATAACATATAGTGTGTTTGATCGATATTAAAATGACAAATAACTGTACATCATGAACAAAAAGCATTTCAAATATTTCATTATAATTCATAATTATTGTTTTCTCAATGCAAAATTCAAATTGTTGCAGTGCATAAGCTAAAAACGAAAGGTCTGCTGCTGAGAAAAAGCACTAATGCACTAATAAAGAGCTTTTGACACTTACTGTACAAATCCTTCATCTTCTTTCATTAAAAAAATCAACACGCAACTTGTTTTTTCATTTTGAGAAACACATTCAGTCCTTGAGAGTAAAAGCCACATTTTTAAACGATGAATCATTATTCCAGTTGAACTCCGTTGCCACCCGCACAAGTTCGTCCACATATACATGTAAGCACTGACTAGTATGTTCATGTGTGTGTCCATGTGCGTGTGCGTGTGTGTTATCACTGAGAGAGAGCTTCATTCGGTTACATAAGAGAGGATTAGTGCACAGACACACAGTGAAGGGGTGTGTGAGTGTGTGGAGGGTATGGTGGAGGGGGGCATGGAAAATACAACAGCTCATATTAATTGATACTAAATCTCCATCTATGTTGACATGCTTTGTGCGTTTGGTCAAACAGACACTGACTTCCACACTGGAGTGTTGCATTCACACTAACCATACAGAGCACAGATACATGCAGGGTAGAGACGGTTAATGATGCTTGCACCTCAGGGGATTTGACTTATTGGACTCTACCTAATCTACACTAACAAATGCTCCAATGTCTGACTGTCTGTTTTTTCATTTGTGTTTTTTTAATACTAACAAGATCAGATTCCTTCTTTTTTTTCCTTTTTGCTTTTCCTTTTTGATTCATTCATTCAAAAAGTGGCTTTTTTAAAATAAATGAATGCCATTGTGTTAAAAACTAATGACCAAAGACAAAAAAGAATAATAACTGGCCTCTTCTTCTTCTTCTTCTTCTTCTTCCATTGTTTCTCTAACCTCGGCCAAATGCTTGAACAGATTCTCTGTGCTGACTCACCTTGGACAGCTTTTACTTCCTTGCAGGGGATTGTGGAGGAGGAGGAGGACAGACAACAACAACAACAGCAGCAGCACACAGAGCTCAGGAGTCTTACAGATTTATGCAAAGCATCCCACCCTTCAAAGACCTCTATGAACCACCTCTGAGAGCCAAAGTATCTCTGTCGCAGATTTATCAAAGGCAGAGAGAGTGACATTATCCAGGCCTGATCATTTTTATTTATATATTAAATAATCTATAAATCCATTATTTTAATTAATTCCATTACAGTATTTTTTTTTAAATTCAAAACCATCCCCTTTCTCTAAAGATTTAAGTTTATTACTGTGGTGAGGCAATGTACTTAGCTCATATTGATTCTGAGCAAATAGCTCTTCACTGTTTACACACAAGTAATAAGAGCTCATTTAAAGAAGACAAATGAACTAGAAACTGAATTTAGAAGTGGATTCATTGCATTGTTTGAAATTATATTTTATTAAGTTAGCTGTGAATGGCTGTTAAGTGTTAGCGTTGTACACAACTGTTCAGGAGCTGAAAAAAATGTGTTTGCAAATATTATGGACTAATAGATATAATGCTGCATCATAAAAACTGCAAACGCCTTCATCTATGATGCTTTAAAACTTCTGCAAGGACTGTATTTCATAGTTCTTACCCATTTAACAAATGGTCTTCAGCTTCTCTCATCCTCTTCACAAAGATCGTGTTTGGCTGGGTAGTATCATGCCCATCTTGTAGTTCACCATAAGCGAAGCCTACAAAAATTATAAATAGATTTTCTAATCTTCAAAACTGTAGGGATTTACTGCGGACTCCGTAGCTTCCATGGTTTGTTGCATGTGGCGTGTGTCTCAGTACATTTTTGGAGCGCTTCTCCCTCATATGACTTGTTCTTTTGAAACAGAATTCAGTTATGATTCAGAATCTTTCTCTCACAGCGCTCTTGTACCCAAGGCGGCCTGCTGTGTGCCCATATGGCAAACTTAACAAGAGCATGAAATATGAACAGCAGACGGAAAAAGATCATCTAAGGCAAACCTTAACCTCACCTGTATGAGGGGAGAACACCCTCGATAAGGCCTGGCTGTATCCTTGCAGTGTAATTAACTGTGATGTTTTAATGTAGGTTTAAGATATGACACACAGAACTGTGCAAACGTTTTGAGTACTCCTTAATTTCTTTATATTTTGCTAAGAAATTAGGAAACATGTACAATGGAAATAAAAACAAAGTATATAACTCAAACATATGGACAACATTTATTCTTCAAACAGCCTAAACTCTCTAAGGCAGCTTTCTTCCCATATGGAAAAGATATATATAAATCTTATAAGGTTTTTATCTGTCTTGTGTGAAACTTGTATGAAAAGCATACAAGAGTGAAAACACATATAAGATCCCTTGAAAAATTATATAATGAAACTTGTATGTTTTGGATACTTACTAAAAAAATATATGAAAGTAATGAGAAAGTGGCCACTTTCATGAGTAACTCGTATATGTTTTTACTATTTCTTTTCCATATGGGTTCTTCTTTTCTTTAAGTCGTTTTCGGGAATAGCTCTCCAGGTTTCTTGAGGAAATTCACATCTCTTCTTTGGATGTTGGATGGCTTTTGCTCTATTCTCTGTCAAGATGATCCCACACTGCTTCAATAATGTGAGGTTCGTGCTCTGTGGAGACCAATTCATGACTGATAGTATTCCATTGTGTGCTTTTTTTCCCAGCTTTCCCCAGCTGGTTTTGCATGTAGGATCCAGGTCTGAATGTATCAATTTTGACGTGATCGCCAACACCACTGTCGGCAGCCCCAAACCATGACAGCGCCTCTACCATGTTTTAACCATGCCTATAGACCCCCACTATTGTACCTCTGTCATGACACAATGGGGATTTGAAGTAAAAACTTTAAATATAGATTCTCAATGCTTCTTGCTATTGATTTTTAGTCCAGATCAGGTGAAATTTGGCATACTTCAGCTTCTTCTCCCCACTCCCCTGCATTATGAATGGCTTCTTCACAGCCACCCTTCCACTAAGACCATTTCTGATGAGACTTCAATGAACATTAGACACATCAACTGAAGGGCCACATGCATCTCTCAGCTTTTGTATCATGTCTTTGCTGGATGCTTTGCCATTTTCAACAGTAATGACTTTAAGACCGTTCATCTGCTGTAAATACGTTTTTTAGGCCTGACACTACACACCATGCTGAGATATACCAAGTTTTTTGGCTAATAGCTCTTTAAGAACACCTTGCTGATGCAAATCATCATAACATTTCCTTTGTTTTTTTTTTTTCAAATATTCAACTAAAAAAAATTTATGTGTTATGATTCATAAAACAAGGGCAGTGATAAGTGGCTTAAGAAAAAAAACTGTTCCTCTGAAAATGGTCAGGTACAAGGACCGGAGCAAAGAAACAACCACTGTCCAAAGATAACGAGGGGTGACGAGATTTTTGCTCAGGACAGTATAACAAATTGAGCATCTCCTGCCTGATTTTGGAGGACCAAAATGCAGCCACATTAAGTGAAAATACGCACTGAATGACTTTGTTGTTTAACTGGAAGCAGAAAACCTGAGTTTTAGCATAGCTTAACATTTACCAACAATTTCCTGTTTACATTCTTTCTTTGAATTCTTGAAATTGTGTATAATTGATTTCAAGTAACAATGCCTTCAAAGACCATCAGTTCTAGAAAATGTTTTTATTGGCATACAACAGTCACACATCGAGGACAGTAATATAGAATTTAAAAAAGCAAAAAAGCATCTAATTTTCATGGAGAAGATTTGGGCAACACTTTCTGAAAAGCACTTGAGATAAAAGATGAACGAGTGTAAAAAGGTTCTAACAAGGCAAACGTGGTCCGTTGTTTTGACTCATTTTATGCCAGACAGAAGTGCTGTCCTAACACGTCTCCCCCTCCTTTTAGTAACCGTGTGGCAGTTTCAAATTCCAGTGGGACGCTCTTGATCTCGGGTTGCTTCAGGTCTTTTTCCATCAGCTGTGAAAAAGAAAATGAAATAACTTATTCATCTAAACCAAATTTAATTTGACCAGAAATAAGAGGAAAACTAATTCTTGAAGCGTCACCTCATACGTTGTGACCTCTAGTGTCTCACTGATGTCATCCTCCTGTTCTGACAAAGGTGTGTTGATCAGCAGTGCAGCTTTAGCCACATCTGGATGGTAATGCTTTTGCAGCGACTATAGAAAAGACGACAGGAAAATGTGTCATTTTAGTGACTCCTCCACTTAAATTGGACTTTCAATCGTTTGTGACATCTCTTCAACATGTTTTCCCCAAAGAGAAAAAAATGAGAAATATCAAAACTCAAAAGTCAGTTGTCATCAGCGACAGAGGTAATTCATTTGGGAATCTAAAGTTATTGCCTGCACACCTTAATTTCCCACAAGCTGCTTTCTAAGGCACGGCACTGAGCAGGATCCTCTTCATCCGTCAGATAAGGATCCTCAAAAGGTTCTGTCACCACACAAAAGCAAACATTTATCACATATCCTACAGACAATTCATAGACTGTTAACACACCGATCCCAACTACAAAAGTCTGAAACTCACCATCTTCTGCGCTGGGCTTGTGAATGAGGACTCTGCAGGACGGGTGGCGACGGATCAGGTTGTAGATGAAGGGCAGCACTATGAGAAGGGCTGTAGGCGGTGCCGTGAGAGCCAGGCGAGCCAGACGTTTGGCAAATGCAGCCACTAAGTAAACTGGCAAGTGACTGAAGGAAACCAAAAACAGAACATGCATTTTAGCAATGTAGATCCTGAGCTTTCATGCTCATTATTTAAGTAGTAGGACGCTTATATTTGGTCTGTTTAGCAGCTTAAATAGTTCAGCCAAAGCTCATAAAAATAACAGCAGGTCACCCACAAAACAACATTCATGCTGTGTAAAGAGTAAAAACCTGAATGCAATCATTTACAGATTTGATAAACTCACAATAGAACATAGAAAACATAATAAATGTTTAAACTGAGTAAAAGGAAAACATTTCAAAAAAGTCTGGACAGGGCGTAGTATCATCTTTCTTTTAAACATCTGGGAACTGAGGAGAGCAGCGGCTGGTATAAGTTTCTGATACAGGATTCTAACAGCTAACTGCTGGTGCAGCGCCGTGACTTTTCAACAGTGAAGCCACGCTTCTGTAACATCTCCAATATGGAGTTTAGCGTTGTCTTGGTAAAAAAATGCAAGGCCTTTAATTGGAAAAGACTTAATCTGGATGAGAGCACACGCTGCTCTCAGCAGTGATGACTCTATAGGCACCAATGCACCTTCATACCATCAGGGACTAA